ATGTGGCTGTTGTTTTCCTGTTTGTCCCATCTGTTCTTTGTTCCCCTTTTCTTCTTTGTCTACCTTGTTTTGGATCAAATGATACATGTTATTTTTTTATTTGATCACCTTTGTCGTTTATTAGCCATTACTATTTTCGTTATTTCAGTAGCTGTTTTCAGTTTGACAGTTATACATCTTTAATTTGTCATATAACAGTCAAATAACAGTCTGCCACTTTATGCAAGTATTAGAAGCTTAAGTCGTTTATTTCCATTTTACTCCTTAAACCATTGTTGTCATCTAGTTTACTTATGCATATGTTATAAACCACATACTATTTATTTTCTGTTTAACCAGTTAATTCTGTTTTAAAGAGTTAAGCGATATACGTACACACACACTCACACATATCATGGGGTCATCATTTTCCTTCTGCCTAAAGGACTTCCCTTCACATTTTTTGTAGTGCAGGCCTGCTGAAAGAATTAATATTTCTTTTATTTTTCAAAACCATTTTTTAATCATTTTATTGGGGCCTCATTACAACTCTTCTCACAATCCATGCATACATCCATTGTGTCAAGCACATTTGTATGTTTGTTGCCATCGTCATTCTCAAACATTTCTTTCTACTTGAGCCTTTGGTATCAGCCCCTCATTTTTTCCCCTCCCTCCCCGCTCAAAACCATTTTATTAGGCATTAATATAGATATCATAGTTCAGTCAAATCAAGAAACATTGTACAATTACTACCACAGTTTCAAAACATTCTTTTCCTTCCTGAACTCCTTGACATTGGCTCCCTTTTACCCCCACCGACCCCCGCACCACACCATCACTGTAACCACCACAGCCACCACCACCACCCAGAAACCCAGCATCTGTATTTCTTTTCAATGTCTGAAAATATTTATTTCACCTTCTTTTTTGCTGAAGTAGAAAGTTAATAGTTGCCATTTTAAAGATGTTGGTCACGGTAGGCAAGACACATGAGCAACAATTTGGAGATGGAGAGGTGACCGTAGGGCTGCCTGGAGGACGAGCATATTCTAGACAGAGGGAACAGCTAGTCTAAAGGCCGCAGGACAGCAACAGGCCTGGTGCCGGGTCTACTGAAGAAATCCCAGCCCAGATGAGGATAAGCTCAGACGTATCAGCAGACAAGAAGACAATAGACTAACATATATAAACTTCTGAAAGAAAAAAGAAGCCATAAGAAGGCCGGTGTTTCTAGAGCAGAGAGAGCAAGAGGGAGAGTAATCGGAGATGATCTCAGAGTGTGAACCCCACCCAGATTGTATAGAGTTTTAAAGATCATGTGAAAACATTCACTTTTACTCTGTGATTATAGGGCATGAATTAAATATGATATATGCTTTGAATGGATCTCTGGCTGCTCTCTTAAGGAAAGAGTGTAGGGTGGAAGCAAAAAAAAAGTTAGACTATGCAGTAATTCAGGTGAGAGATGATAATCTCTTAGATCGGGGTGGGAGTGGTAGAAGTGGAGAGAAGCGATTGGATAATTTTATATATTTCAAAGGTATACCCAGGCATATTGGATGTAGGGTGGGGTGATAAAGAAAGAGAATAGTTGAGGGTGTGTTCCAGGTTTGGAGTCTGAGCAACTAGAAAGATGGAAATGCCATTAACTAAGATGAACAAGATTACACATGAAATATATTTTGCAAAAAGTATTCAGAAATTTAATGTTAAGCATGTTAATGTTGAGATGTCTATTTGATAGACATGTAGAAATATTAAAGTTAAAATGTTGAGTATACGAATCTCGAAATCATAGGAAAAGTCTCGCCTGGTGGGTCCACAAGATGAAGGCTAAGAAGGGGCCTGAATGAGCAGCGTGGACAGCATGGGTGTGTTTGACAAAGACTACTTTTGGTGGAGCAATGATGATAAAAGCCTGGAGTAGGTTTCCGGGAAAAGAGAAGGAACGAAATTGGTAGCCAAGAGTAAGGCAACATTGGCAAGGATTTTTTGCTGCAAAGGAGAAGCAGGGAAATGGGCAGGAGATGTTTGGAGTTTAAAGATGCCAGTGGGGGTTGACGGAAGTTCTCGTCTGGTTGCTGGAACTTTGACAGTGAAGCAGCAGAAAGCAAGATCGTCATCTTAAAGTGAGGATGAGGGAGGAGGTGTTAGAATTTTTAAAAGAGAGAAAAGGTGCAAAATAATGGCCAGAGTCAATGAGAGAGTAACTGGATAAGGGGAAGGTCAATGTCATGGGCCAACATCATTACGAAGCCACTTGAGGTTCATGGTCATGAATTTAAAGTGTAGCCGGTCCAGGCCCCTGGGGGTTTTCTCCAGCCACACGCGGTGTACAGGTGCAGCCGTGCAGCAATGCGCGAGGAAGTAAGAAGGACAACAGGGGTGCGAATGTCCACACGAGGGATATTATTGAGTATGGAGTTTGGTATGGGCAAGGAATAGATCAAGGAGGGAAAGTAACGTTAGGTAAGAGGGACAGTGATAAGGTGATCGGATCAATGGATTGAAGAGTGGTTGGAATCAGAGCCAAGCAAAGGGTGTGTGGGTGGACTGCGGTACAGTAGATGGAAGCGGGTGGTCAGGGAGTGGGTTAGGGTTGCAGTTGCCGGTAAGGACAAAATCTGGAAGACGACACCCAGGTGCCAGTCTGCGATAAACTCAAGAGTGCAATACAGCTCCAACATACAGGGCGAATGGTTTTCCTAAAGTGTTTAAGAGAGTGGCCTTTTTTTTTTTTAATAGTTAAGTGTACTTTAAAAAAAAGTTTTATGGGCACTTAATCCACATATCATGCAATTCAATGCTTCAGTCATATCAAGAAGAGTTGTACAATCATCACCACAATCAATTTTAGAGTATCCCACATGCCACCCCACCCCCCACCCCCCACGGTAAAATCACTTTTAAAATGAGTTGTGTAATCACCATCAGTTCTAATGACCAGGTTTCTCTTCTGAGGCATCTCTGAGTGAAATCAAACCTCCAACCTGTTGGTCAGCACCCAGGCACATGGTCTGCTTCCATCGCTGAGGTGTCCCCTTTAGTAATCACACCTGTATCAAACACACCTTCTTAATCATGCCTCTTGAATATATTTCTCTGTTTCCCAAAGTTGCATAGTAAACACATGAATTTTATGATCTGAGAAAATTTCCCTCATGGTGTAGTGAGTTACACCGTGCTGCTAACCACAAGGTCGGCAGTTCAAAACCACCATAGTGGTCGGCAGCCACTCCGAGGCAGAAAGACGAGGTTTTCTACTCCCTAAGAGTTAGAGTCCTGGAAACCCACAGGGCCTTCGTCGACTTGATGGCAGTGAATTTGTTTGTTTGGGTTGAGAACATCTAGGATCGATCTCTATTTGAAATCATTTTGTTCATGTTAGAAAATTCAAGATGCGATGTCTCCGATGAGGACGAAGCAGATGCTTCCATGTGAGGCTCCAGAAATTTGATATTGCTTGTTGCCCACTCTCCCATTGATTGTTGCCCACTCTCCCCAGCTGAGAGGAGTTCCTGAGAACCCCAAAACGAGCATTGATTTCCTACTGTCCTCTGGAAAGCCTTCCCCAGAGCTTTTGAGTCTGGTCCTTCAAGTGCACATAGCATGCTGCATTGGAATGGCTGGTTGATGTGCCTGTGTGACCTGCTGAAGGAACCTTGCTGGTTCAGGATCAAGGTTCTTGAACCCAGGAGCCCCTGTAAGGGAGGAGGCTGTGGCAGCGTGCTCTCATACAGATCACAGCCTACTCTATCCTATGGGGTCGCTAGGGGGCTGTAGCCACTTGATGGCAATAGAGTATAGCCCACTGGGCTGCCTTTCTGAAGACATGGCCCAAGACACAGCACAGGGCCTGACACATAGTAGGTGCTCAGTATGAATGACTCAAGGGAGCTGGTGAACAACAGGTGCGCAGTCGGCGTGGGCACCGTAGGGTGATGTGTTTCATCTTTCCACCATAAGATTTCATGAGCTCGCCTGTGAATTAGTGTATATGGACATTTTGCACATACGTTTTGGACTTGTTTTTAAAAAGGGCTTATTCTCATATTCGAACATAAGACTTTTCACTCAAGGAAGATGAAGAAGAAATAAAGGTAAGTAACTATAACCGGACAGGGTAGAATACGATCTGTCAGTTTAGCTCTAAGTAACAATCAAACAGAAAATTGGAGGAGAATTTTCCTTGGGGAAAAAAAAAATCACAGTTGTGATGTGACCGGGGGTGAGGTGCGGGAGGGATCTTTAAAATGCTTTTATGTGGTAAAATGCTAATCATCACAGTTCTTAATTGAGAGGAACTTGCAATCTCTGGCTGGTTTCATAAATGTAACTAGAGTTTTCAAATAGATGCTGCTAATTATTGTTATTAATGTGAAGTTTAGAGCATCCTCTTTTGGAGACTAGACGTTGGACGGATGAGATTCCGGCATATTTTCAATATGCCCATAAACCAAGAACTACAGACGAAAGTTGGCTCTTTTTGTGTTCCCTCTTTCTGTCTTTGCCAAAGTGCTCATTTCCATCGCTAAGAAATGGAACCGGCACTGAAGGCAGGATGGAAAAATCGGTAGATCCCACATCGTTTATTTGTTATAAATTTTCATTTCAGGCTGTTAGAAACTACCTCATTGGTGTTAAGGGTCTACAATCATTATAACCATGATGCCAAGGAAGGGACGTCTCCCTAGTTTGCCTAGAAAAACCAACAAAAGCTTAACTATTGTATTAAAGTACAGAAATCTTCCTCAGCCAGATCTGCAGACTAAATAAAACAGAACAGGCAGTTTTTTCCCTTGGGTTTTTTTTTTTTAATTATTAAACCTTTTGAAAGAATTTGTATATACTCTTGAAATCATTTCAAATGCCACCCAAGAAAAGTAATAATGTTAATAGCTCAAAATCAAAAGTTAAAAAAAAAACTAAGTATAATTTTTAAAATCTTTTTTCCTCAAGCATTTTACGATGGGATAATGAGACAGATGTCTCTCAACTGGAAGGACATTTTGACATTGTTATGTGTGCTGACTGGTAAGTACATAAAAATCATAAAATTCTTGTTTGGAAAAAAAAAAAGCTTTGCTGGAGTAATTGGGCTGTGCTGCTTTGCTGACGGGTAAGCAAAGTCAACAAATGAAGCACAAAGCCACCCTAACCTCAACAAATTAATATTCATCTCCATGTGACAGTCATAAGGTAGTCTTCTATCACACAGTAACTTCTACCACATTATTTCCCAAAGATTGATTTTGAGAAGCATTTCCATTTTCTGGAATTGCCTCTGTTTCATGCTTGACGTATCGGTAAATGGACGACTTAGGCAAATTGCAAATAATTATGGCCCGGAGAGGACTAGGCTGGAGAAAAAGGAGTTTATCAACACAAACAGCTCAATTAGCTTACTTCGTAGGAAAGATCTGACTATTGATATAAGGGAATATATATGTGTGTACACACTCATATGCACTCCAGCAAATAAACCTATCTGCGGAACATCTTCAGGGAAATGTCTTTTTTTCCTTTATGTATCTTTGCTATCGAATATTTTCAGTGTGTTAAATTAGAGTGCTTACTTACACATAAAGCAAACATTTTAACATATGTTTATTCTTATTCAAATAATTACACTGAAATCTCTTTCAGGTACCTGCTTTAAAAAATATTTTTACATTAGCTGTTTGTCTTTAAACCTGATCTATTTATTTGTTAATGAAAGTCTGATCCCAAAGGATCAGATGTGTTTCAAACCTATAGGATAAATGTGCTTCTAACCTTAGTAATTATGTCAACTAATGTATGTGTTCTCTTTTTGCATGTTGAATAATAATTATTTCACCAATGGGAAACAGAGAGAATTCAGAAGGCTTCTTTTCTCTATTGTTAAGACTAAGATCTTATTTGTCATTTCATTATGATAGTTCTTATGATATAAAAACACAAAAAGTTCAGATTCTAAGGAAGTCCTCTTACCCTCTTACATTGCCAAACCCACTCCTAAGATCCAGAACCCAGACACTTTCCCAGGGGAAAGTCAAGTGACATAGACCGCACTTTCAGAAAGCAAACTCTCTATTGAATAACACATCCAATGGGTAACTCTTCCACCTCAGCCAGTGAAACTCAATTTTTCTTCCTCTGAAAAAACCAGAAACCTCCTCAATGAAAGATAAACATTCTTCTATTTTTTCAGCTGAGATTTCCTATTTCTTTGTGGCCCTTTCAGCCTCTTTGCACTCAATTTCAGAAAGCCCGTCCTAAACATAGATTTCTGACTAATCATTGATATTCCACATCAATGGTACATCCCTCATCTAATCAAAAATAAGGAGCTAAAAGCTCACCATATGATTTGAGCAAGTAATTTAGTAAAAGCCTTTCCTCACCAAATCTGAGAAAGGATCCTCCAGGTTCATTGCAGAGATGAAGATAATGCTGGCAGGATTAGATCAGATTAAGCATGAAAGTCAGATCAGAGGGCAGCAGAAGGCAGGGAGGGGGGCAGCATCTTCTTGGACGTTTAGCCCAGGGTCGAGCACGGATGGGCGCCCGATTAGGTGGGGAGAGTCGGGTCTGGCCAAGAGATTTAGAGTTAAATTTGTCCTTCACACAAATATCAAAACAGCCTGGCTCTGTCATGTCTCATATTACGGACACTCACACCATGTCATCCTGTTTGTAGTGGAGAGACAAGCCGAGGAAGTAAGATGTAAGCTCTTTTCTGATTAATGTTCTCAGTCAGGTTAAAAATAGCCACACAACATGTTTGAAAATAGTGTCCCACCACCCCCAGCCAACAACGGGGTTGTATATAACCGATAAGCATGTGTGCCTTTCGTTAAAATACATCACATAATACATTGTTATAGGTACACACACACACAGCTATAGCCGTGTGACATTTTCTGGAGCCAACAAACTAAACACCCATTTTGTAAATGCCTGTTCTGTGTACGAATTATTGTGTGTGTGGAGTTTAGGGGCTTTTCTTTTTCTGATGGTCCCAGAGCCTGTTTATCATTTTCCATTCGTAAACATAAAACATAAAATGCTGCTCTCCCTGCAATGGCCACGTTATTTCTGAGAGCAGTGATTTGGTGATGGTCCTTCGCCAGATTCACAGGGAAAGCTAAGCTGCTTAGAAACTTAGAAAGTACAGTGCTGTTTCTCATGCCCACGTTGCCCCCATAAACAGCGCTGAAGCCCAGGACACCAAGAGCACCAGCTGTCCGGTTGGCTTCGGCATTTCCCTGTCAGAGTCCGGGTGTGGATGTGGCATCCAGGTTGCCTTTTTTTTTTTGTTTATCACAGAGGAGCAAAAGAAAGTTCTCTTTGGATACCACCTCTGAGATGAAACGGGCAGCACGCTGCCAGCAATAGGTGCCCCAGATAAAGAGGCTATGGGCACCACCCTTTAGCCACTGTCAGGCAAGAAGATCTGGATCAGCCAAGAGGAATATGAAACAAGGGTCGGAGGCCAGATATTCCGGGTGAGGCGGAAGCATTTCCAGAAAGGATGGCGTTGTCCACACTAGCCAGTGGTACTGCTTGCGCCATTCCCGTGAAAACCAGTCGTGGTCACAACCCGATTCCAAACCCACAGTGTTATTCAAGTCAAACACACACAATGACAACAAGCCCTGGGATCTGTATGTTTTTGAAGCACTCTATTTAAGTTCAGACTTTCATAAGCCTTTGGGCAGTAAGGGAGGAAAGAACTTATTTCTCAGGAGAGAGAGCTAAATTGTTGGCATCTACATTTAGGAGCTCAACTGGATTATAAAATAAAGAGACAACCTGTGAGAGCCAGCCGTCCTTCACCACTCAGCATTTCGGACAATGAAAAGTCGTTTCACAGCTCAACAGTTCCTAGATACAGAAGGAGAAAACTCGAGGGCGACAGCCGCACCTACAGGAGGATGCTGTTGACAAACACCAAAATATTAGATGGCTTAGCACAGGTGTAGGGAGAAGCCTGCCGATGAAGTCCCTCGGTTGACGTGTTTAATGTCAAGTTTCATATAAGGATTCCTTTCTGCTGCAACACAGGCCAGCCTAGCCCTTGCCTCATTTTGAATACCGAGCGAAGGCTGATTGTTAACTTACCTTTCCTGACTCCCGATCCATCACAAGAAAATCGAAGGATCTGGAAGTGAGGTGTTGTTCTCCAATGAAAGCTTCCATTCCGTGGCTGATGGCTCGTCAGGTTTTTGTAGCTCTGAGAAAACAAACACATCTGTTCATTTGGGTGCTCTAAACAAAGGCTGAGCAGCTTTTGCAAAGTGCCCCCCAGATCCTGGCCCCCTGCGGGATGCAGGACTCCTCAGCGCACCTGCGATCAGGTCTCAGCAGCAGAGACTTGAAGCAATGCAGGAACCTCCCACCTTGCCTGCCATTTTACCTTGACTGTACATTAGATTGCTTCTTTTTCCAAGCCTTTCAGTGAGTGATGGAAAAGGTTTGTTTTTAAAGCTGTTTTGTAAAACTATTGGAGGTGCCAGAATATCTTTGCTTGCTTCCAGATGCTGTGGCCATAGCCCACAGGCCCCTCCACCTGAAAAGATGTTCAGCCCACATGTAGTCAGCTCTTTGCCCCCTTACCATCGAAGGCTCTGTGGCAGAGAAGATGCACCATTGCTCAGGATCTTGCCATTAAAACACCCAGGCCAGAGGAAAAGCCAGAGTCAGCCCCTGCCCCCACAACCATCAACTGGCCAAAGCTGAAAGAGGCATGGCTCCACTGCCCAAAGGGAATGTCTTTTTTTTTTTTTTAAATCATTTTTTTGGGGGCTCATACAGCTCTCAGCACAATCCATACATGCATCCATTGTGCCCAGCACATTTGTACATTTGTTGCCATCATCCTTCTCAAAACATTTTCTTCCACTTGGTACAGTTCACCTGGAAAATTCCATCGTTGTCTTTCCGCCTCTGGATACTGACGGAACGATAGGGCTCCCTGTGCTCTGTGCTAGTTCAGGTCCCTAGATGTTCTGCGCTCAGCAGAAATCTCCGAACCTCTTAGCATCTGAAGGGGAAGTGATGCAGATGGCCCAGCGCCTTTTCTCTGTCATGAAATTTACGATTCAGATCAATGGGCCAGTGCGTGGATTCCACAAGTGAGTTATATAGAGCAGTAGGAGTGTGAGTGAGCGAGCGAGCGAGTGAGTTAGTGAACGGCCAGACTATACTTTGTGACGAGTTTCTGATGAGGGAGAGTTGAAAGGATACCTCCCTCCCAATCACTAGCCCGCTCCGCCTTTGTTAATAGACCCGTTTAAGTTACTCCTATCCTCTGAGCCCATGTGAAGGGTGGATTTTCATCACTCCCAATAAAGGTCTTTATCCTGGGAGTTGTTAGGAGGATAGTGAGCTCGTTTGGAGTAAAGGCCTGTGGGGGAGGCACGGGGTGGGTGGGTGGAGGGATACGGGGGAGACCGTTGCCTAAGGTGGGAGAGGGGAGACCCCCAGCTAGGGCTGTCTTCACACTTCTTCCAAATTGGGCATTTGCAGTTGTGCTGGGGAATAAGATGCCTTTCCAACAACACTTCTGCTTCTTTCCTTCCTTTTTTGTTGTTGTTGTTGTTCATCCCTAAAAATGTTATTAGGAATTTCTATTACTATGTGGAAGACAATCCTTTTCTTTGCTTTTCGTTTTGGGGCTTTGCTTTACAAAAGCTTAGCCTAGAGGTGGTCATTGAAAAGCTGACAAGGAGTTTAGGACCCGGATGGGAGACAACACTAGAACTTAGGGCCTAGGGGGACTTCCAAAGGCCCTCCTGTGTGAGCCCCTGGAGGAACCAGGACAGGCTCTCTGGACAAGCCTCCCCTAACTCCAGCCATCTGGCAACCTGCTGCTCTTCTCTGAATCGGTCATCTGCCCCTTCCGCCCTCATTACTCTGTTCACATGAAGACATTTCTCTGTGCCTCAGTCTCCTTAGGCGAAAAATCATGGATGAGGATAATAACCACCTCATGGGAATCACATGAGGTTTAAATGAACTGAAGAGCTTCTAGAAGGATGCTTGGCACGTAGTCCTCCGCTCAATCCGTAGGAACTCTTTAGTTATTGAGACGTCCTGCCTAAACTCCCCTCTGCTGGCAGTTTGAACTGTGGGAGGAAGATGCTGTCTTGGAAGCCCTTCGACTCTTAGGGTCGCTACGGGTCAGAACTAACTCGGCAGCAGTAGGTTTTGAGGCCCACTCTTAAAAGTTGTGTTCATCTCTAACGTTTTTGTTTAATCTGTATGAACCGACATCTAGCTCGTGTCCCTATTGTCTTGTCAGCTTTGTAAGGGAAGTCCTCGTCTTCCCTTCCCTTTTCCCTCCCCTGAATGAGGTAGGTGCAGTTGAGTGCCATGGCTTTGGCAACTAAGCAGCCTAGGTTGCCCAGGATGGTTCAGATTTCAAAGATTCAGCTGAGCGTTCAGAGCTCCATACTTCATATTGCGAGGATCCTAGAGCCTCCTATGAGATTCAGAAGAAAAGTGGTCCCTCCCAGTGGGTGTTGATGACAGGCTCGGGTCTCTTCGATTCACTTGGCAGCATGCTCTGGGTACCTTCTCTAGGTGTTGTTAAGACTCCCAGGTTTTAAGCAGCTGATGTCTTACCATTGAATACTGGGGTAACCTGAACTCAGAGATCTTGGACCTGCAAGTTCTACATAAGGAAACTCTCTCCCAAGTTTCTGAGAGAAGGCTTGGTGAAGAGAGAGTCAGACTAACCCAACCAGCAGCAGCAGTTTTCCAGATGCAGAGAAAGAAAATGAGAAAGTCCAGGGAGCTGTAGGAGGTGGATGGGGAAGAGGTGCCACATGGCGGCCCAGAGGGTCTCTTATTACAGTGCCTACTCCTGGTCTTGGTCTTAGGACCCATGTACTCCAAGGTCACTGGTTGAGTCTATCCTCACTCTTGTTCCTAGTCACTGCCACCTGAGACCTACTGAGTGGTTTGAGTGTGGTGGGTCATGCAGATGGTTTTTGAAACCCTGAAAACATCCTCAGTAGGGAGAGGGCCCAGGTTCATGAGAGTCTGTGCTCCGATGACCAGAAGTGCAAGAGTGCTTCATCTCACCAGTGTTTCTCCAAGTTCGCAGGCGTGGACCCCCACCCCCAATGAGACACTTGAAAGGAAGGAAACAATCTCTTTCTTAACACATTAAACATGTGTTAATTAGCCTTTCACATGACTCCATTAGTATCATTAGAATTGAAACCCCGGTTTAATCTGGATTCTGCTCTCTCCCCGTCAGCCTGTTTCTGGACCAGTACAGAGCCAGCCTTGTTGATGCAATAAAGAGATTACTCCGGCCCAGGGTAAGTATGTTTCTATTTTCTTCTGAACACTGGCTTCCGGATAATTAGTCTGTGCACAAAGATGGAGAGAGTAATGGAATGGCAGGATTAATGTCATGTAATACTTTAATATTTATTATGCCCAACTTCAATTGGGTCTTCTGATCTATCAAATTCCTTCCTAATCATAACTAGGAAACTTCTTACCCTTGGCCCTTTGATAAGAAACACAGTGGGTAGTAAAATGAATGAAACCGCTTCAAAGATAGTGTGAGATTATTTTATCAAAGCATTTCTTGAGTCTTTCCCTTTGATAAAAATATCTTCATATTCAAGTAGAAGTATGATATTGAAAGTTTTCTGTTGACTTCTGTCATTTTTAATCCCTTCAATGGTTGCCTTTGTCCATGAGTATTTATTTATTGGCAAAGATCTTTATTTTATTTTTATTTCTGTTTATATTAAAGTAAAATGACTTCAGATGAATCTGTATATTAAAAGTTCTTTGCTTTAAAAGGAAGCCATTATTTACATATTATAAACATTAGGTCACAATGAAACCAAGCATGGCATAAAATATTGTGCACATTTTTACATTTATATATCCATTGGTGCCTGTGAGTAAATTACAGAGTTTGTATCCACTCTTATTTTGTTGGGCTGTTAAACTAAGCCAGGAGGTCCTGCAGCCTAAACGGAGAGTTAATATACAGCTATTTAAAGTAAAAAAAATGAGTTTAAAGCACAGGCATTTAAAAATATATAAGTACGTAAGACTCTTGCTGTGCCGTAGGGATTTAAAATAGGTTAACAATGTTAATATAATCTGAGGCAGGAGCTCATGTTCATCTGAGAAAAGGCTACAAAGAAGGACAGGTGGATGATACATGGATGGTACTCAGTCAATAGGTAGGTAGGTAGATAATAGTGATGTAGGTAATGTACATATACATATAAAAGTGTGTGTAAATATACATATAAAAGTATGTTCTGAGGGTTTGTTTCTAAAATAATTTTTAAAAGACAGCTTATTCTAGTCTCTAGGTCTTTGTGAGACTAACGTAAGAGACCAGCACCTCACGGTCTTTCTTTTCTCTATCTTTCACAGTGACGATTTCCAGAGCAATTTGATAATCATCCTTTAATTTACACTGTCATTTCTTATTTTGTTGTTTTGTTCGGAAATTTTACTTCGGCCCTCTCCAAGGAATGGCCACAATTTTATAAGTGAGAATCAATTATCATAAATCAAATTGCCAGGTCTCCCTGTGAGGTCGGCTGCCTTGAGGTTGGGAAGAGGCAAGCACCAAGCTCTTGACAGCAGCCCAACTTGAGGGTAGAAAAAGAAATTTGGGGCTTCTTCATCCGCCCTACTCCCCACCCCCACCCTACCCCGCTTCCCCTGCCAACCATTAACCTTGGCTGATTCTTCAGAGCATTTGCAAGTTGAGGATTTTCCAGGAGGCCACTGAGATTCTTGGATGGGAAGGCGTGCATGAAAATGTATCATACATAAATCCAATGCTGTCAAGGTCTCCCTTTATCTCGTGGTGCACAAACAGTACCTCACTCATCACCAACACCCCTTCAAAGCCTGTTTATGGCAAATACTCCATTCTGCAGCAGATTTGCATGATTGGCCTAGGATCTATTGTAAATCATGCGAATGATTCACAATCGCACACTGCCCAAGCCTTGAATAGATCTCAATGAAGATTGGACTGGAATCTCCAGCAGCAAGCCTGTACCCTCTATTAAACCCAGGACTCCACTCCCCTCCTCTATTAAACCCAGGACTCCACTCCCCTCCTCTATTAAACCCAGGACTCCACTCCCCTCCTTCTATTAAACCCAGGACTCCACTCCCCTCCTTCTGTTAAACCCAGGACTCCACTCCCCTCCTTCTGTTAAACCCAGGACTCCACTCCCCTCCTTCTATTAAACCCAGGACTCCACTCCCCTCCTCTATTAAACCCAGGACTCCACTCCCCTCCTTCTATTA